TTCAGACCTTGCAGCTCAAACAGCTTTGCAGCCTGGCACATTAACCCACAGCACCACACCAGGACTCCGTAAAATCCTTTTTGTTGTTTTTGTTATGTGCCATGGAGTCGGGGTTTCTAAGGCTGTAAATCTTTACAGGAGCAGAAAGCCTCATCTTTCTCCTGCAGAACAGCTGGTAGTTTCGGACTGCTGACTTTACGGTTCACAGCCTTATTCATAACCACTATGGTACCAGAGCTCCTTCCATAAACTCCTTGTTGTTGTTGTTAAGTGCCGTCAAGTTGATTCCTACCTATAGCAACCCTGTATAGGGTTTCCAAGGAACAGCTAGTGAACTTGAACCACCAACCTTGCAATTCAAACAACTTTGCAGTCTGATGCATTAGCCCACGATGCCACACCAGGACAAAGGGTATTTTTAAGACAGAGAAATAAAACTCATCTGCCCATATCTACTGGGTTGGGAGCCTGAATTTGCAAACTCTTATAAAGAAAACCTCTCTTGCTAAAATGTGTACAGATTGGGTTACTTGTCCACAGTGTGGACAGTGTGTCTCACAACATGGATTCTTAAAAGTGGACAACATATTCCAGCTATTGTCAGAGGAAGATATGTGCATTCATTTCCTAGGGTGACCATAACAAAGTATCACCTATTGGGAGGCTAAGGGTAAGTTCTTATTGTTTCACATGGGGGGTATAACTAATCTTCCATTACAGGAACAGAGGACCCTAGGACCATCAAAAGGGAAGAGTATGAGTGGAGTGTGGGATCCTAACTAGATTAGTGGGGACACCAGAGACAAAAGTAGAGATGATGTCATGGAGAGATAGAGCAGCTGAAGACTCTAGACCCGTGGAATGAGAAAGGTTGTGTGTTTGCTGGCTTGTAAAATGTGCTGTTTGGTTGTTTAAACAATTATATATTTTCTGTGTGTGTTTTGTGTACATCAAATAAAGGGGGAGGGTTGTTGTTGTTGTTGTTATGTGCCGTGGAGTCGGTTCCTATTCATAGCGACCCTGTACAGGGTTTCCGAGGCTGTAAATCTTTACGGGAGCAGAAAGCCTCATCTTTCTCTCGCGGAACAGCTGGTAGTTTCGAACTGCTGGCCTTGCGGTTTGCAGCCCGATTCGTAACTACTACACTACCAGAGCTCTATAAGGGGGGGTGCGGGGGGAGTAATAGAAGTAAATATTATTAACCCATGGTACATGGAGGGGATTGTAATAATTGCAATGAAATAAACTATGATTGGTTGAGTGTAAAACTGATGATGTTTCCTGTAAACTATCACTCAACTCATATGAAAGTTTTTTTAAAAAAAAAAGAAAAAAGAAAGAAAGAAAAGAATTTATCATTTCACAATTTCACAGATCTGGAAGCTAGAAGTTCAAAATCAAGGAGTTAGCAGGGCCATGATCTCTGAAGGCTCTGGGAAAGATCTACCCTTGCCTCTTCCTATCTTTTGGGAGTTCTTGGAAACCCATGCCATTCCTTGGCTTACAGAGATCACGCCAACCCTTGCTTCTGTCTTCACATAACCATTTTGCATTTGGTTCTCTGTATCTCTTTTTAATAAGGACACCAGTAGTATTATTTTGGAATCCTGGTGTGGCACTATTAGGGTCAGCACCAGACTGCTATCCACAAATTGGTGGTTCAAATCCTCCAGCGGATCCTCAGAAACTCAATACAGGGTCACTATGAGTCAGAACTGACCTGACAGCACATAGCAAAAATATTATTTTAGAGCCCATTCTAGTTCAGCATGAGCTCATGCTAACTTAATTTGCAACAGCAACAATTCTCTCTCTAAATAAGTTTACATTCACAAGTGCCTTTAATGTTTCCTTTTAGGGAGATACACAATTAAACCATCACAATATGACTATGGAATAAGGGTTGTTGTTGTTAAGTGCCGTTGAGTCAATTCTGACCCACAATGACCCTGTATAGGGTTTCCAAGGAACAGCTGGTGAGCTTGAACCACCGACCTTGCGATTTAAATGACTTTACATTCTGACACATTAGCCCACAGAGCCACCCAACGTGTTAACACTGCTGACTGAAAATTACAGAAGGACCCAGGAGCCAAGGAATACAGCAGCAGAAAAATGTAGGGAAGTGGATTCTTCCCTAGAACCTTCAGTAAGAAATGTAGTCACCGTGACTGATGCCCATGTTAGGATTCTGACTAAGAGAACTGTACGATAATATATTTGTGTTGTTTTAAGTACTAGAATTTGTTACAGCAGTAAAAAGATCTACAGTATCAATAAAACACTAATACCTGGGAGTTATATTCTGGTTGACTAGCCTCAGGACTGGATAGTGGAAGAACTCTCCCTAGTTTAACTCAGACAAAGCAGCCATAGGATCTTATAAAAGGCATCAATCAACTGAATGGTGACAATAATAGCTGTGTCAACTAATTCTCAAAGCCTTTGAGAAGACAATCTCTGGAAAAGTTAAAAAACAGAAAACATTTTTTCAAAATAAATAATATTTGTACAACATCATTATCATCTACACTCTCTCTTCACTTACTGACATGGTTAGGTTCCAAAGACCAAGTCATTAGGCAAAAATTGGCATTATATGAAAATAAAATAACCAGATCACAAAACGGAGACTGGCTACATAATGACCTAACTGCCCAGCCACTGAGACCCATGACTTAGCTGACTCATAACCATCCAGCCAGCATTACTCTTGCCTCACATCTTGATGTTCATTACTGCCAGACGTATGTCATTGATTTGAAAATTAGAGTATAGATTTTTTACTATTGTCCTGATTGTGAAATGTTGGTTATCAAGCCAGCTAAAAAGTGAGGAGAGTTGTACCAAAAGTGGGGGGAAGTAGTTAATCTGACAGTCCAGGAACAGAGGACCCTAGGACCATCAAGAGAGAAGGGCATGAGTGGAATGTGGGACCCTATCCAGAGAAGCAACGACATGAGAGATGGAGGCAGAGATGATGACATGGAGAGAGGGAGCAGCTGAGGACTCTAGACTCATGGAAAGAGAAAGGCTGTGTGCTGGCAGCCAGGAGACAGGCTTGCAGAATGTGCCCTTTGATTGTTTAAATTTTTATGTATTTCTGAATATTTTTGTGTGCATCTCCCTCCACCAAAAAAAAAAGAACAGAAAAAACAAACAGAGGGAATAGAAGCAAATACTGTTGAATGATGATGCACCAAGGAGATTGTAATCATTGCAATGAAATGATGAGTGTAAAACCAATGTTCTCCCATGTAAACTATTACTCAATTCACAACAAAACCAACAACAACAACAAAAAGTGAAGAGAGGATGTACTTCACATGAGAAAATAGACTTGAAGGAGGCTGGAATTCCTTGTGTGGCGCTGTGAGATAAAGCACTGGATTGCAAGTTCAGTTTGAATCACAAGGTCGATAGTTCAAACAAACTAGCTGCTGCTTGGAAACCCTATACACGATTGTTGTCGTGAGTCAAAACTGACTCGACAGCACGTAACAACAACAACAACAAGTGGCTTCAACAGTCCCGATGTGGCTCTGTAGAATAAGCATAAGATTGCTAACCATAAGATCGGCAGTTCAAACTCATCATTCACTCTTGGAAATTCCATACTAGATGAGTCTGAACCAACTCAATGGCACATAGCAGTAAGTGGTTTCAATAGAGTTAATTTCCCATTATAAGATAAAAAATGCACAAAATCTATTTCATTCTAGTGACATTTGTACTGGAGACTGTGGTGGAACAAGTTTTGCTAGGACTTATTCCCTGAAACAATTGGTTTTAGTAGACACATGTTAAATGAAGAGAATAAATCAAATCAGTGCACAGAGAATGCAGCATATTTAGGGTAATGTTGGTCTACTAAGTAAAACCTTGTAGCTTTTGAAACACATTCACTGCTGCTATTTATGGTTCTGGAGTCCTGGGGTGGTGCTATGGGGTAATGCACTGGACTGCAAAGTCAGATTCAACAGCAAGGTTGACAGTTTAAACTCACCAGATGCTCCTCGGAAAACCTATACAGAGTTGCTATGGGTCAGAACTGACTCAATGGCACTTAACAACAACAACATTTATGGTTCTGAAAGTAGTACCATGTGGTAAGTAAGACCACATAAACTCTGGAGTCAGACAGATATGGGCTAAAGCCTAGCTTTAAAATTCACCAACTGGCAACCAATGGGCAAGCTACCTAAATGTCCAATGTTTCAGTTTCCTCAGCTGTAAAAGTGGATAGTATAATAACTCCTCATTCACTGTGTTATAAAACTTAAAAAGCCAGTGTTGGGAAGGTGCTTACACACAATGGTCTTGAGGAAGACAATGGAAATGTTAGTTGTTTGCTGTTGCTATTTTATTACTATGCATATACTATGTAATAACCACCATGTTATCTGTCTTTACCATAAATAGGAAGGAGGCCAGGTAGGGTAGTGGATTATGAGCTGGGCTGTTGTTGTTGTTAAGTGCCGTGGAGTCAGTTCTGACTTATAGCAACCCTGCATAGGGTTTCCAAGGAGTAGCTGGTGAGCTTGAACCACCAAACTTTTGGGGCAAACTGACCTTGCAGTCCAGTGCGTTAACCCACAGTCTGCCCCAGGACTCCTAGCTGCAAAGCTAACAGTTGGACTATACCAGTTGCTTTGTGGGAGAAAGATGAGGCTTTCTGCTTCCATAAAGACTTACAGCCTTAAAAACTCTAAACAGGGTCAAAAACCCCAAACAGGAACCAAGTCAGTGGTACATACCACCACCACCATAAATAGGGGTGGAGGAAGTGAGCCAGCCCTGAGACTCAAAATCAGATTCCGCTGACTCCATGACCAGCATTTTCACAATAGCTTGGCTTTACCTACCTCTTAACTCTTGGTATTCCCCAGAGGAAATGGGAATAAGAACAGAGGAGCCTTTTCTTCCCATCTGCTTCAGTGGTCCCTTTCTGGAATTCCCCAAATACTGCCTGTCCCCAGGCTCCACCCCATATCCATTACCTGGATCACACCACCTCCTTCTCCAGCACTCTCAGCCAAGAAAGTCTCCGGCAGCTCCAGCATCTTCCCGAGCCAGTCCATCATCACCGTCTCCAGCTCTGTGCACGCTGGGCTTGCAGCCTGTCATGGGAGGAGCAATGGAGTGAGCCCGGAAGCAGCTGCTCTAAGCATCTTGTTAGCTGGTGGTAAAGATGTGCCTCTTTTCCTCACTTGGAGAACTGAGGGAACAACCTTCCCAGATCCCATTTCAATCACAAGAAAGTAAGGCTAAAACAATATTTGATAGAGGAAACGGGGATAAATTGCTACAATTTGATGAATTTGACCTATACTTAAGGAGATAGTAACTCTAAATACCAACAGAGAGGGAAGGAGTCTTCACATCAAGTATCAATGCTATACCCACTGTACACAGGGTAGATAGAGATAGGCAACTTAGACACTGGCTACCTAAAATGAAGGGGGATAAAGGCGTGAAGTGACTGGCTTACAAGGTTTCAAGAGGGAGTTTAGTTTAAAAGTGTGTGAGTGGTGGGGGCGAGGGAAAGAGTTCCCACTGAATAATTTTCATCTTGTCTAGATGAGTATGGCTGAAAGAGATGGGATAAGAGTCTTATGATTCAATAGTAATTGTTATCATGACTAATTGCAACTGTCACAATAGTAAAGGTAGATGTTTTGTAGAAAAATTGGGGCATAGTTAATCTTACAGTCCAGAAACAAAGGACCCTAGGACCATCAAGGGAGAAGAACATGAGTGGAATGCAAGACTTTATCCAGAGAAGCAGCAATACCAGAGATGGAGACAGAGACAGGGTCATGGAGAGAGGGAGCAGCTGAGGATTCTAGATTCATAGAAAGAGAGGGACTAAAGCTGGTGGTCAGGAGGCAGACTTGCAGAATGTGTCCTTTGGTGGTGTAAATTATTATATATGCCTGAGTGTTTTAAAAAGAAAAAAGAGCTAAAGTGAATAGAAAGAAATACTGTTCATTGATGGTACATGGAGGGGATTATAATCATTGTCATGAAACAAGGTGTATGATTTATTGAATGCAAAACTGATGATCTGTCCTGTAAACTTTCACTCAATTCACAATAAAAACTTTACAAAAAGAAAGAAAGTGAGACTTTAGGCTGTGCCTGCTTTTGCAAGACTGAATCAGACCCTCATTGCCAACATTCTCCTCAATGTCTCCTCATGGGTCACATGATGTGAGAAACAAATGGCCCTGAAGGCCTTGCCCTCCTCCCACTCTGCTCCCCACCACAGTTTTAATCTTCCACTGAACCCAGATTAAAATCAGCAATCTCAGATGCTACTCAAATGCCTGAAATAAGATTCAACGAAGTGCAACTTGACTAAGCGTCATGTTAGTTTGGAAGGAACATGGAGATCACCATAATAAAGCTTTACTCACCTGTGCCTCATTACTTGAGTATAGTCTGTCTGCTTACATATTCATTGGTTAATTTATAGAAGCATCTAGAAAGGCTTATTGGTAGACACATGAATGAAATGAATACTAGACTGACAGCTGAAGAAGCTGTGCTCTGAGAGTCCCTGTGCCTGTGCCTGTGCCTGTGCCTGTGCCTGTGCCTGTGCCTGTGCCTGTGCCTGGCAAGCACTGGAGAATCTTGCTCCATGATCACACCCATTGTACATGGGAGGTGACAAGTTGGCCATGGATTCATCCAAACATGAAGGAACTCAGTGGAGCCCCATGTAAGGGGCCTGTTGTGGTGTTAGGGGGTGCTCTGATGCTTGGAAGTATATGCAGGCTTTGTGATGCATTTCTGGTAAGAACTGAGTCAGAGAATGTTTTCCCTAATAATCAGGCTACACTGTTGTACCCTTCCCAATCAGCCCAGTGCCGGGTAGAGGGAAAAGCACACTGGTATCAGGCAATACGGGCTTAGAGACAGGAAAGCACTCTTCCAAGAATATGAATATTCCCAGAAAGAAGACAAGACTGGAATTGCAGTTTGATATCATATCATCCTGACCACGGAAAATAGTTTGCAGGTCACTTCATTGTGTTGTGGGACCTCACATGCTGCTATGATGCAGAAAGCTATGTCATTGGTATCCCAAATACCAGCAGGGTGACCTGTGTTAGAAGGGCTTCATGGAGCTTCCAGGCTAAAACAGACTAGGAAGAACAAGGCACTCCACTGCTGAGGGATTAGCCACTGACAACCCTATGAATAGTTGTTCTTGTTAAGTGCCATCGAGTTGGTTCCGACCCATAGCGACCCTGTACAAGGTTTCCGAGGGTGTAAATCTTTACGGGAGTAGAACGCCTCATCTTTCTCCCGCGGAGCTGCTGGTAGTTTCGAACTGCTGACCTTCAGGTTCACAGCCCGATTCGTAACCACTACACTACCAGAGCTCCTTATATTATCTGATAAAGCAGCAGAAGATGAGCCCTCAGGTTGGAAGGTACTCAAAATACAACGGGGAAGAGTTTCTTTCTCAAAGCAGTGTAAAACTTGAATGACATAGATAAAGCAAAGCTTTTGGGACCTGCATTTGCTGATGAGACACAACTCAAAATGAGAAGAAACAACTTCATTAAGAGTTGGAACGTAGAATGTATAAAGCATAAATCTAGGAAAATTGGAAGTCATCAAAAATAACTGGAATGCATAGAGATCAGTATCCTGGGCATTAATGTGCTGAAATGAACTAGTATTGGTTGTTTTGAATTAGACAGTCATGGTGCTGTGGGTTAATGCACTAGACTGCAAAGTCGGCTTGACTCCATTTTTACCAGGAATGCATCGCAAACTCACCAGCTGCTCCTTGGAAGCTCTATACAGGATCGCTATGAGTCAGAACTGACTCAATGGCACTTGACAATGACAACAACAAACTGAAGAAGAATGGAGTCATATTCATTGTTAAAAATCACATTTCAAGATCTATTCTAAACTACAACATTGACAGTATTAAGAAAATATCCACAGGCTTAAAAGACAGACCAGTGAATACAACTATTCGTCAAATTAATGTCAACCACTAATGCTAAAGATAAGGAAACTAAAGACTTTTTATCAATTTCTAGAGTTTGAAATAGATCAAACATGCCATCAAGATGCATTGATAGTTACTGGTGATTGGAATGCAAAAATAAGAAACAAAGAAGGGGCATCAGTTGGAAAATATGGCCTTGGTGACAGAAACGATGACTCTAGAGATTGCATTATAGAATTTTGCAAGACCAATGACTTATTCTTTGTAAATACCTTTATTCAATAACACAAACTGTGGCTATTGATATGTACTTCACTGAGGGAAAACACAAGAATGAAATCAACTACTTCTGTGGGTAGTGACAATTGAGAAGCTCAGAATCATCACTCAGAACAAGACCAGGGGCTAATGTGCAACAGACCATCAATTGCTCATAAGCAAGTTCAGGCTGAAGCAGAAGAAAATGAAAACAAGTCCACAAGAGCCAAAATATGACCTTGAGTATATTCCATTTGAATTTAAGACAATCTCAAGAATAGATTTGAACATTGAACACTAAACACTGAAGATCAGAAGATTGTGGGATGACATAAAAATTATCATACATGAAGAAACAAAAAAGATCATTAAAAAGAAAGAAATGTTGTCAAGGCTCTGAAACTTGCTCTTGAATGTACAATAGCTAAAGTAAAAGAATGGAATAATAAAGTAAAAAAGCTGAACAGAAAATATCAAAGGGCAGTTCGAAAAGACAAAGTAGCATATTATAATTTTCGAAAACCAAAAGGGAAAGAACATGCTTAGCATTTCTCATGCTGTCAGAACTGAAGAAAAATCCAAACCACGAATAGCAATATCACAGAATTCTGTGGCAAAATATTGAAAATTCAGGAAGCTTCAAAAGAAGATGGAAGGAATGCATAGAATCACTGTACCAAAAACGAATTGATGGACATTCAACTATCTCAGGAGGTAACATATGATCAAGAACTCATAGCATTAAAGGAAGAAGTCCAAGCTGCACTGAAGGCATTGGCAATAAACAAGGCTCCAGAAATTAGTGAAATACCAATGGAAATCTTTCAATAAACTGATGCAGAAATAGCAGTGCTCATTCATCCATGCCAAGGACTTTGGAAGACAACTACCTAACCAATTTACTAGAGGAGATCTTTATTTGTCTCCATTTCAAAGAAGGTGATCCAGAAAAAAAAATTGCAGAAATTATCAAACAATATCATTAATATCACATGCAAGTAAAATTCTCAGAAAATAACTCAAAAGCAATTGCAGTAGTACATTGACAGGGAACTGTCTGAAATTCAAGCAGGATTCCAAAGAGGACATAGAACAAGGAACATCATTGCTGATATCAGTTGGTTCTTGACCAAAAGCAGTGAATACCAGAAAAATGTTGACTTGTGCTTTTTTGACTATGCAAAGACATTTGACTGTGTGGATCATAACAATCTATGAATAATATTGGGAAGAATGAGAATTCCAGGACACGTTACACTCATGCAGAACTTGTACATCCACCAAGAGGCAGCTGTTCTGTGTTAGAGCTTAAATTTTAAAGCACTTGGTTTGTGGAAGGCTGTGGTTTACAGTGGGATCCCCTTTCCCCCAGGCTAAATGAATCCTTTTCTCTTTGCAACAATGGTCCTCCTGTCCACAGGGGATGCTGGGAGCTGCTCATGTCCTGTGAGTAGCTGGGGGAAAAAATGCTACATCCCCTTGGCAGGTCCCCCACCACTGCCAGTGCCCAACTCCCCTACCCGCCTGGGTCACCCAGAACTCACCCAAGAGAAGCCGATGCAGCCGATGGCCCCACACAGCATGTCTGCAAGCATAGCTGGGTATGAACTGGCCGTGGGGAAGTAGGCGAAGAAGTGTGGGCTGTGCCAGTGGGTCACCTGCCCGAAAGATGAGTCGGTTACTCAGTACCGCTGAAAAAGGGATTCTGCTACCCTTTGTGCGTGCCCCTAATCACTGGTTTGGTGACTACACATCCAACTTTTCATTCATCCTAATATCACCTGTTCAGTCACTCTTTAAATCAACTCTCTGACTCCCTTTTTTGTTTGATGTATTTGTGGACTAAGAAGTAAACTTTATATCCCCAACATGAAGTGTAAGTTCCTGATTATTTGCCATAAATAGAAAGTAACTATAAACCCTGGAGACTCCATCTCTTTGGTTTTAAAAAAACTTCCTTTAAAGGCCTCTTCAGCCAGGTTCCAAACTCGTTTTTGAATAACAGTTTTACTGAATTTATTATTTTGGCTCACAGTTCTTTTCTTTAAGCATTTTAAATATATTATCCCATTGCTTTCTTGTCTGCGAGATTTCTGCAGGGAAGTTAATATTTAATCTTATCGGGGACCCCTTGTATATGGTACTGCACTTTACTTAACGCTGCTGTCAAATTTGCATTTTGTGCTTGGTTCTCAGGAATGTTTATGGCCGCCTAGGTGACTTTCTTTTAGAATTTATTCTATGGGAAGATCACTGAACTTCTTGGATGTGAAATTTCCTGTCTTTTGTGATGTTTGGGAAGTATTTTAAAAATCATTCTGGACCTTTCTTTCTTCTCTTCCTGGAACTTCCTTAATTAATAAAATAATCATTGTTATCTATCCCACATAACCACAACCCTTAGACTTTGTACATTGTTCTTTTAACCTTTTGTCTGTTTCTGTCTCAGACTGAGCCTTTTCAAAGACCCTGTCTTTGAGTTTGCAATCATTTCAGTTCTATTTCTGAGACCTTCCAAAATGTTACTCATTTCTATTATTTTACTATTAAGTTCCAATGTTTCTGAATTTTTTAAGATTTCACTTTATTGAAATTCTTATTTTGTTCTTGTATTGTTTTGCTTACTTCCCTTAGCTGGTTTTATGTTTGTTTCCTTTGATCTCTTGAATATACTTAATAGTTATACTTGGAAATCATTATTGAGTAATTCTACCAACTGCTGTCCCCTAGTTCAGGTTATTTTCATTTTCTGTTTCTTTATATGCATTGTAAGTGTCTGTTGTCTCCATGACATGAAGTTTTACTGATTGATTTATGTAATTATTTACATATGTTTATTTTTGCTTTGAAACAGCAGGAGACTAGCTTCTTCCCTTCTCATTAGATTGTCCTTCTTCCTTGTTACTACTTCCTGGGATTCTCAGGGACACGTGTCTAAGCCATACACATGTCCAAGCTGCATTGTCCCAGGTGAATTTGGTCAGGTGTCTTGGCCCACACTATGTCAACCTCACCTCTTTGTTTCTGGTTTGTCTTTTCCTGTACTTTGTTCTGTGTTGCACCCTGGGTACGCCGCTAGACAACTACTAGGTGATCCCTAGGATCTTTTCTGTTATGCTAGAAGGAATAGAAGTGGAGGCTATCTTGATATTTTCCCCAGGAAATTTGTCTTTGGAATCCCCAGTTGTATTGGTGTACTTCCTGCACTGAGCTGGGAGCAGGGCTCACCTGTGGTGTCAAGTCAAGAGTGAATCAGTCAAGGCACTTCCAGTGTGGGCATAGGATGGTGTTTGGCAGGCATACCTCAAGGGGTAGGTCAAGTCAGACAGAAGTCACTTGTGTAATGTTCCTGTCTTGAGCACCTGAAAGAGGTTCCTGCCTCAGGCGAGGTGGTTACCAGTGGGGAGTTTGGCCATTGGGTGCCTTCTATCATAGATAGCTGGATTCACTCCTGGTGAATGACTTGGTAGGTAAGTTCCCACTGCTTCCAATAGACAGACTTCCCAGATGATGGGCAATAATGGGACCAATTCCCAATGATTTCCCTTTGCTGGAGTCTCCCAGGATGTTGTTGTTAAGTGCTATTGAATCAGTTCCTATTCACAGCAACTCTGTATTAGCTTTCTGAGGCATGCCTGGTGGCATTAAACCACACACCTGCAGTTAGCAGCCCAGTGCTTATCTTACAGCACAACCCCAGGAGCAGAAACAAACACCATTGAGTTTTCTTGGTGCCCTTCCCCACTGGCACTCATTCTAGCCTTCATGATATTTTCCTGGGAATTCCTGAAGTTTGATCTGTACCATTCTACCTGGGTATACTCCCCTGAGGTTCTTGGGACCTAACATTGTACTATGCCCCAACACACTCTCTCCCAGACCTGCCCAGTCTCAGTAAGTGCCTATGCCACTGTCTCCTTCTATGTTCCAATGCTCCCTCCCTGTGTCCCTTATTGGGATGCCTTTGCCACCATCTCAAGATGGTCACCTTGAACTGGCTGGTGAGTTGGATGACAATGGTCTACTAAACTCGGCTTTTCCACTATGTGTATCTCATTTCCCCTTGTTTCAGCATTGCCTTTGATTCTCCACACCTTCTGTTACTATCCAGTGTACCAAGATCTTGGATTGCATTGATTCTTTGCTGTTTCCTTCTGGTATTGCTGCAGGGAATATGAGAGTGCAACCAGCTATGCCACCATCTTGCCTTCTGTTCATCCTTTGACTCAGTAAATACTTGTTCTGTGCCAGGCATTGGGAATAGCCCTGGGGAGATAGGCATGTGAGAGATCACCCTTCACTTGGGACAGGGCACAGAGTGTACCAGGCCTAGGAGAGGAGGGAACAAAAAGAGGCAGCATCCATCTGAGTTAACGGAAGTCCAGGGAAGGTAACTTGAAGTATAGAAAGACTTTTCCAGACACTGATCATTAGGAAGTAGTGTGTGTGTGTGGTGAAGAGCAAGGATGTTATATCAGAAAGACCTGGGACTCGATCCTGCTATCTCTTTAGCAACAGTGATGCAAGTTGGCTTCTCCTTTAAACCAGTTTTCTCATCTGTCAAAATGAGATAAAATCTTATGAGGTTATTATAAGCATGAAATGAGAGTGCCTATAATACTTAATATTTAAAAGAGTACTTGAAGTCTTCAGTAAACTGCAACTGTTCCCATCAGCCACCAGAGAAAAGGCAGACACAAATGCCCATGTGGGCAGCATTGACAGAAGATCTGGAGAGGTAGGTCCTTAGAGTGTGTGATGCTGAGATCTAATTACCAATGACTTGAAGTAACTCAGTGCTCACAGGGAGCCCCTGAGAATTTTTGAGTATGGAAGTGAGAGATTCATACTCATCTTATAGATACACCACATGGGGGAGTGTTGCAGACTGGGGGAAGTGGGAGAGAAGGCAGCCAGGAGGACTCTGAGAAGGGAGCTGAGGTCTGAGCTCAAGCCCCCAAGCTAGAAATCAGGAGGAGGGTTAGGGAGGAAGAAGTCATAGGCCTGCTGAGATTTGGGAGAAAGAAAGGAAGGAGGAGGAAGGTGATGGGTGTTCCCAGGGCCTCAGAGGCCCCTTCCCCGCAGACCTGAACCCCTGCCACTTAGTGAGCTGTCTGTGATTTTACCACAGGCCTCTCAGTCAACTCTCTTCAATCCCAGTCTCTGCTGGAGAAGACAAAGTTTAGCCTCAGATGGTGTACATTAAAATTTCCTGCATAGCTCTAGCACTTCTGCACAAGCGGCTCAGGGAGGAAGTGAGTAGAGGATCCAACCAACATCTGCAACACAGATTCTGGGCGCCAAGTAGAGGAGTCCAACCCCACCATCTCACCCATCTCCTAACCACCTCTGCCTTGGTGTATTTCCACAATATTTATAAAAGATCAGGCATCTTGGGCTTCACTCAGAGCTCTCCTGGGAGGATAAAATCTGAGCAGTGGCTTTGGAAGAGACAACTTGATATTTAAAAACTGAGGCCCTGGGACCTTACTCAGACCATCTTCCCTCTCAAGTAGGACTTGTTGAGCCCCAATCCTTCCTGCTCTGAATGTCCTATGCTTGTTCTCACAGACCTTACCAATCATGGATATGTGTCCTGCTGTCAAGGCAATAATCCAATTCACCTAATGCTGGAACTTTTCACATTGCTAGGCAAAACGGAATGAACTGCCTTTGATGGCAGGTCTGATCATCCTTATAAATGGGTTTGGCCTACAAATCAGGTCATGCTAGCAGGTCCACAGAGCCACTCAGAGTACACACTCTGGATATGCTTTTAGGGGAATTCCTTGACAAAGAAAATCCTACTGTGGAAGCATAAAGCCATTAGGAAGCTTCCTGTTTGCTCCAAGGATGACGCCCCATCGTGTTTGTCTGCTGTACGTCTCTGCACATCATGTGAGATCATGTCAAAGACCAGTCTCTGGGGAGAGCTAGTACCAATCACATCACCCATTCTCAAATTTAAGAAATAAAATATGTCTTCAGTATATGATATTTAGCCATCCTGGGGTGGCACTGTAGGATAAGCACTGGTCTGCTAATCACAAGGCCAGTAGTTCAAATCCACCAGCCGCCCATTGGAAACCCTATACAGGATTGGTATGAGTCAAATTCGACTCCATCCCACTTCACAACAACAACAATAACAACAAGGAGCCCTGGTGGCACAGTGGTTAAATTTCTGTGTTGTTTATCAAATGGTCAGCAGTTCAAACCCACCAGTCACTGCACGGGAGAAAGATGTAGCAGCCCGCTTCAGTAAAGATGACAGGTTTGGAACCTCTGTCAGGTAGTTGTGCTGTGTCCTATAGGGTTGCTAAGAGTCAAGGTTTGAGTTTTATTTTGTTTTGTTTAAGCAGGAACTCTAAGTATATGTATTATTTTGAGTCAATAATTTACTTTGAAACATACAATCAGTGGCTGGTTTCCTCTGACCATCACATCGTGATTCATTGTGTTTTCTTGCGGGTGGAGGTGGTCTCAGCAGTTAGAGGAGAGGATACCCACGGTCCTGGGAATCCAAACCATCTGGGTTAGAGTGCTGGTATCATTTACTGGCTGTGTGATGTTAGGAGAGTCATTTAACCTCTCTGAGTCTCAAACTCCACCCCACGTGAAATAGAAATCATAACAATTCTCCCCAACAGGATTGTTGTGAGCATTTTATAAGATCATCAATACAGACTGCTTAATTCCTTGTTGTTGTTGTTGTTGTTGTTGTTGTTAAATGCTCTGGTGTGGCACTGTGGATTAATGCACCAGACTGCAAAGTCTCTTTGAACCATAAGATCAGTGGTTCAAACTCACTAGTTGTTCTTCAGAAACCCTCTGCAGGGTTTCTGTAGGTCGGAACCGACTCAACAGTGCTCCACAACAATACCAGGTGGTAAATAATGTCAGCCCTGCCCTTCTCCGACCTCTGCTGTAGCCTTTTTCCTTTTCCTCCCAGGTACAGACTTACCCCTGGCATGATGATCTTCTCAACATCATTCATGATGGCCTCAAAGGTTTCTGGCTCCTGGGGGGCAGTAGCAGGGATCAGGGGGCGCAGATAACCAGGCTCTACATCCGGATAGACCTGACGTTTCTCGATGCCTTCCATGTAGTCAGCCACATAGTCCACCATCTCTTTGCCTTTTTTGCGGAACTCACTTGCATTCATGGTAAACTACACACACAAAAAAGAAAGTACTTAGCAAAGAGTATCACATCTGCCCTGGAGTGGGACAATTCCAAGCAAGCTGACTGTTAGGGCCACCTAAGATCCTGGAGACCCCTGGAGTGCCAAGCCAGGACACATGTCTTCCACATTTGGATGATGTGGAAAGGACACTGCATTTATAGACCACAGCAAAATGCTTCTTCTGTTATTTATCAGGTCTTCACTTGAGGACAATAATGCCTTTGATTCATTTTCCTCATCTCTACCACCCTTCTGTCCAAGGAGCTCTGGTAGCGTAGTGGTTACGAATCGGGCTGCGAACCTCAAGGTCAGCAGTTCGAGACTACCAGCTGTTCTGCGGGAGGAAGATGAGGTTTTCTGCTCCTGTAAGGAGCTCTGGTAGCGTAGTGGTTACGAATCGGGCTGCGAACCTCAAGGTCAGCAGTTCGAGACTACCAGCTGTTCTGCGGGAGGAAGATGAGGTTTTCTGCTCCTGTAAAGATTTATAGCCTCAGAAACCCTATACAGGGTCGCTGTGAGCTGGAACCGACTACAAGGCACATAACAACAGCAACAACAACAACAACATCTCCCTTCTGTCCCGTTTGCCATACTGTAGGTGCTTTCATATCACTACGATGTTGGAAGCTACTCCACTGGTATTTCAAATACCAGCAGGGGGTCCTGAATCCAGGCTAACACAGACTAGGATGATAGGGCCAGTGATATACTTTAGAAAATTAGTCAACTCAAAAACACTATGGGGGAGAGGACTTCCAGTGCTTCCCTGATCAGGCAGCTCAGGTAGGGCAGTCTCGGGGAAAAGGGGCAGAATCACACAAAGGAAACCTCTGTCTAGCAGACAGACAGCTTTTGAACAAACATAAGATCTTATATTTCAACATTCTGAACTCGTTTTTTTAAAAGATCAAATTGCTGAAGAATTACAGGCAATTTGAGCTTTTGCCTGCCTGCACGTGGCTCCCACTTCCGCGCCCGCGCCAGCAAGTGCCTCTGCCCCCTGCAGACCTTGGAATGCAGGGCTAGAGCAACCCCACTTAGAAGGCTGCATTTCCAGAGAAAAGGAAGCATAAACTAACAAAGCCGAACAAATAGAGAGGGATATCGGTGTGGATATCAGGAAATTCGGGGTACCCACGGTACAGAGAGCTTGAGAGAGGCATTTTTTACATCATCAAATACAGACACAACCTCCCTGCAGCCACCACCCCCAGCCCTCTACTGCCCCGGCCCAGACCAGCCCTCTGCCAAGCTGCTGAGGCTCAGGAACACCCAAGGCCCAAACACTCCCACTGAGGCCAAGGCCTGCCCTGAGGTCCAAACCGCCCACAGACTGGTCACAAAGGCCCAGGCCCAACAAAGGCCCAAATTGCCTACCCGCCTCTAGGCCCAGGCAGTCCACAGCCCGGTCGCCACTGAGATCCAGGGCCCCCAAGACCCAACCCACCACATAGCCAGGTCACTGAGGCCCAGGGCCCTTGAGGCCCAACCTGCTGCATAGGCCGATCACCAAGGGCCAATGACCCTGAGACCCAACCCACCCTCAGCCCAGTCCCCGAGGTACAGGCCTCCCAAGACACAATCTGCCCAACCTGCCCACTGAGGCCCAAGCCGCCCGATGCCCAGCTGCTGATACCCAGGCCCCCTGAGGCCCAAACCACCCACCCAAGGCCCAACCCTCCTGCAACCCGGTCACTGATGCCTAGGCTCCCAAAGGCCCAAACCGCCCGCCCTAGGCTCACCCCACCTGCCCGAGGACTAAACGGCCTGCCGCTGAGGCCCAGGCCCAACTGAGGTCCAAAAAAGTTACTCTGAGTTAAGCAATAAGGAGAGTGAAAAGGGAAGACCACATCCTGATCACATCTTCCTGAAGGTAATCAGGAAACATAAAAAATTACCAAAACACATACTTAATTAATTATTAGGGCCACAGATAAACATTAAACATGTCCAAGAAGCAAAAGCAGATGACTATAT